CCCCTTCGTCAGCTTCTCCCCGCCCCTCGACCAGGACGACTACCTGTGGGGGCTGGAGGGGGGCGAGGGAGGGAGCGACCTCTTCGAGGCCTATGACCTTGGTGACCTGCTGAAGAACTGAGCCGGCGAGGGGGCCCCTCTCCCTCCCCGCTATGGTGCTAATGGCCTTGCTGGAGTCCAGGGCTTTGACTTGAAGTGTGGACTCTGAGCTCCTCCCCTCCTGGCCACCAGAGCAGGGGCATGGAGACCTCCCGTGGGGCAGGACTTCCTCCTGATCTGCCCCACCCATGCGTGGTCTCCACAGCTCCTCCTCCACTCTTCGGGGCAGCTGGGGCCAGCACAGACTGGGCGTAGCAGTCAATGCAATACAAGACCCCAGAGGGCAACCTGGGGAGGAGTCTCCCACCACGTCTCCATAGAACCTGCTGCAGGAATGGAGCGCCTTCGCCCGTTTATCTTTTCCCCGCCCCACACACACGCCGGTAACACGTTCCTGGCCTGTCCAGGGATGCTGGGGCCGGGCAAGGAGCCCCTGGGAGACTGGGACTCTTGTCATGGAGAGTGAATCTTCGCATCCCGCCCCCGAAGCGACCTGTCTGCGGAACACGCAGGGCGGCTGTGTCTGGGGAGCAGTGGGGGAGTGGAACGCTCTGTGGTCTGCCAGGGGATTTGCATGGCGGAGCAAGAGATCCCATTCCCTGAAATCTGGGCAGGGGTGGGCACGTATGCGTCTGTGAATGAAGAAATCCTTAAGCTCCTGCAGCTGCTCGGGGGGCCCGTAGGGATCTGTGACGGCAGCGCAGCTGCGGGACACTTGTCTGTTTCGCTCTGCAGGGCCCGGGCGGCCCCTTTGGATCTGACCCAGGTGGGTCTTGCTTCCCCTCTCCCTGAATGTTTTGCTTGGAGCGTATGGGGTCTGAGCCAACCCAGAAACGCCGAGTGAAACCCGTTTGTCATTGCAGACGTCAGGTGGCTTTTGATGTGAAGAGTCAGCTGAGAGTCCCTCCTTAGGGCCATGGCCTCTAGGGGGACCTTACCAGGGACCTGCTCTGACATCTTGTAATGAAACTTGAAACAAGGCAAGTCCTGGGGTGGAGGGCGTGGTGAGACAGGGACGCGCCCACCCACTCACCTGCAATGGGAGGGAGTCCAACTGCATCTCCCCCCTCCCCTTCGACTGACCCTAGGCCCCACCCCCTTCTCTCCGTCTTTCACTGAAATGACTGGCTGCCTTCGCTCTCAGTGGGTCACTTGGATCTTCTCCATCTAGATTGGTGCCAAGCGACCTGCTGTGAGCGTCACATGTATCCAGTCAATGGGCCGTTGTTCCCATGCGAGCCCCCGAGTCCAGGGTTACCCCAGATCCTCACTGATTGGATCAGCCCTTCTCTAAATTCATTGTTAGGTTAGCGTGGGATCCGTCTCGTCGAGTGGGAGAAGCCCCAAGTGCCACAGGCTGGGCTGGGTCCCCTAAGAGACCAACTGCCCTGCCCCTTCTCCTTCCATGGTAGATTCTGGGAACAGTGGATGAAATCTGGGATTGCCAAGGTAGCGTAAGAGAATTCTGAGTGCGCTGTGCCTTGTGAAAACCAAGCCGTTAACTTCCACTGTGCTTCCTCTGAGGTGGGACTAATACCCGCTTCCATGCCGTGCTTTGGGATCCTCTGATGGACAGGGTCTTAGCGGTGAGATCTGGACCATTATCCAGGGCGCTTGGTTTCCAGGATGTGCCCATGGCTTGCAGACCCACCCTGGTTCACCAATGTCGCGGTGCTGGTCGCTTATTGACTTGCTGCTTTCTGATTGGCTTGGCGCATATCATGCTTCAGCCAATCAGAGACCAATCATCTGCACACCGTGAAACATACACATTTTCAGCTGTATTTTAAACTTAAACCTGCTAGTCGGGCACTTAGTGTGAAAACTGTCAAACTTGGGTGCCTAGCGCTGCGCGCCTAAATGAATATTTAGGCAGCTAATGGTGGCTTGGTTTTTTTGTTTTTGTTTCAGATGTTGAGTGTGCCCCGCTCCCTCTTTGAAGTGAAAATCAAGCCACTCATAGGTGCCTAAAAATGTGGATTTGGGTGGCAAACCTGAGGTACCAGAGTTCAGAAATTTTGATCTAATCTTACTTTATTTTTACTCCTAGTAAGATTTTCAAAATCTGGCAAGGTGCTTATCTGCATTTTTAGGGACCTAAATACCTCTGAAAATTTGGCCTATAATAACTAGTGGCTCTGCCATGTAGCAACCTTGTTAGCCACAGATTCCATAGTGTGTGTGTGTGTGCGCGCGCGCGCAAAATTCCAGAGGGGAAGGGAAAGTAACTTTTTATTTGTATGTCCAAAATTCATCCCTCCCCCCCTCCAGAAAGGCTTGTTTGGATTTCCAGGTTTTCCATATTTGCAGAACAGCTGTTGGTCAACGGGTGGAGAATTTTGTCCTGTGCCATCCCATTAAATTCTCTCTTACAAATGGAAACAAGCACATTTTCTTAACCCCTTCTTGAGTGCAGCTTATCCCTGCCCAGGGAGAATGCCAGATGGAGCCTGCAATGGATGCTGGGTAGGTAGAGTCCTGTTCACATCTGCCTAGGTGGCTCTCCTTGCAGGACTGGGGCCTGAGGTATTGTAGCCAAAATGTCCACTAATGTTAACATTAAACACTTCTGTTGGCTTTTAATCTAGCAAAGGGGTTTAATGCTGCCCAGATACTACGGTGACGGGCGGCACCTTCCACATAAAATTGATAGTAGTAGCTAAGTCCTTAATGGGTCTTCTGGAGTCTCTGAGTCTTCTCCCTTTTGGGGGGTGAAAACTCTGCTAGGGGGAAAGGTTCTGATTTTGTTAATTTGCCCCCTTTTCGTGTGTGCTTGGGGATTGAGGGGTGGAAGGGGGATGTCCATGTACAGTCATTCTCGTGGTCAGACGCTGGATTCGGCTGATCTCCTTTCTTACCAGCCCTGCCTTGGAGCTCCCACATCTAGTGTCCCCGTCTAGGGGAGCGTGCAAAAGTGGGAACTCTCCAAAACGGGGTGTGACGAGCTGGGGGTGGCTCTGCTTGAGACGGAGAAAGGGTGGGCTGGCTCATTTGAGCCCCTTCCGGACAGGCGTCTGATCTAACCAAAGGGGATGAGGTTTTCTGGCATCTCAATCTACAACTGTCCCGGGGAGCTTGGCCTCCATCTGGAGGTGGCGGTTGTGCAGGGGCTCTGTAGCCCTGGTTATTCAGGGAGCATCTGTGAAGAGGAGAGACTGAGCAGCATTCGTGTGTTCTCTAGAACAGTCGGTTTTCCTAATGCAGCCATGTGCTTTGGGGATCTCCCCCGCTGAATAATCCAAGTCCAACCCTGCTGTAAAAGTGACCGTCAAACCAGCATTGGAAGCGGCATGGCTGCGTCTCGAACGTGCTCCGGGGGCGAGTAAAGATACGGCTCTTTGAACTGCAAGCTCCCCCTGGCATTGGAGAGGCCAACTGGGTTCTCTCCTTGCACGTCCTCCCCAGTAAGAGAGGTTCTGCTGGCCAGGTGAGGCCCAGGCCACCCCGTTATCCTGTGGGTTTGTACGGGGGTCACTGAAGGGCTGAGCTGCCTTGTCTGCAGCGGGGGGGTTTGCCCCAATTCCAGCCGCCTGTGGCTAGCAATTGGTGTAGCAGCACCACGCGCTCGCCCTTGCTGGAAGGTGGGGTGGGGTGTGCTAGTGCTAATGGAAGCTGGTAGCAGTTGGCCTGTCGACAAGAGGAATTTGCAGGCAGTGCAGCTGAATTGGGGGCAAATCCAGCGCGCACAGGTCCTTCGTTAGCCGCTCTGATGCACTAGGGAGACTAGAATCCAGCTTCCCCCTCTCACAGCAGCACTGGGAGCGGGGCAAATAGGAGTGAGGAGTGGTCAGATCTGGGTCACAAGGTGTTGCGTGG